GTCCTGGCCCCCAGGTGAGCCCCTCGCTCTCCTCGCAGCCCAGCGCGGCGCCCGCCGACGGCTTTGCCTCCTCAGACGACGAGGCCGCCGAGGAGGACCCGAGCCCGCTCCACATCTCCTGGTGAGGCGCCGCCCGCGGGGGTCCCTTCCCTCAGGAAATTGCGTTAAATCCCTCTTGTGACAAAGAGGAGCTCTGGTCACCTGCCAGGGTTGTGGGTGGATGGCGATGTCCCTGAAAACGGATTAAAGCGGTGCCGGGGAACTGTCAGTGGAAGTGGCTGGCGGTGGAAGGGGCCTCTGGAACCCGCCCAGTGCGATCCCCCTGTTCAGGCAGGTTCACCCAGAGCAGGATCTCACCCAGGTGGGTTTTCGATGTCTCCAGGGATGGAGACTCCAGATCTTCCTCGAGCAGTTCCAGGGCTCTGTTCTTCCCTGTGAAGGCAGTGAGGCCCTGGCACAGGTTGCCCAAAGAAGCTGTGGCTGCCCCCGGATCCCTGGAAGTGTTCCAGGCCAGGTTGGACGGGGCTTGGAGCAACCTGGGCTAGTGGAAGGTGTCCCTGCCCATGGCAGGGATTGGAATGGGATGAGTTTTAATCCCTTTGCCACGAAACGAGCGTTTTAAGGCCGCTCAAAAAATCACCAGCAAAGGTATCAGTGAAAGCAGGTTTAATATAAAGGCAATGGCACAACAGAGTTCGTGGAAAGGGTCACTCTACTACTTACTAAACAGTTAAAATACACCGAGAAAAAGCACACAGAAATCTAAAATCACTGTCAATACCAGCCCAGAGACTCCATGTCTGTGGAGGCTGTGGTTGTGGAGGGGTAGGTAAGTGAGGCAAAAGGACAGAAGGTATAAGGACAAAAAGGAATACAGCCCAAAGGCCTGACAACACTTAAATTTATATCTTATAGCTTAACACTTAATACCATTAACTTAACACTTAACTTATTACTTAACTCTTAACCTATTAACAATTTAACTTGGATCTATATATGATTTACTATACTATGACAGTCACTTACTTATAAACCTAAAGTACTTAAGAATTTAGGAAAGCAGTGTCCCTGGCACATTTATACAGCATATGCACACAGACACAAAGGGTCTGCACAAGGGACCCGTGAAAAATTCCCCTCGAGTTCCGTGAAATACTCACTTGGAATGTTTTTGCATNAGGGTCTGCACAAGGGACCCGTGAAAAATTCCCCTCGAGTTCCGTGAAATACTCACTTGGAATGTTTTTGCATTCTCCCCAAAGGGAGAAGGACGGAGGAGTGAGATGTCAGCCCAGGATTTGTCAGTCAGGATCCCCCAGGAAATAGCAAACATGAAAGTTGCCACCTGTGAGAGGTGTCCCAGCTCAGGGAGGGGTCTCTGGTTGCCACAGCCCAGGAGAGCTGAGCGGGTCTCGTTTTGGGACACGGTTTGTAGGGTCAAAAGAGAGCAGGTTTCAGTCGTGATAACCTGTCACCTCAGCCACACTTTGCATTCTTACACTTTGAAAGTGTTATTCAGGCAAAAAGTTTCCAGGGGTGTTCATTAGAAAAGCAAAGGACTCTTCACACAGCACAGCACTGGGAACAGACAGGATTTCTGGTGAGCTCCAAGCAGCTCAGCCTGAGTGCTGGCAAGGCCAAGGCCTAACCAGCACTGCTCAGATCACAGTCAGGGGTGAGGAGGGGGGATTGCACCACCACACCCTTCCAACCCAAACCATTCTGGGGTTCTGTGATTTTGTTACCCTCCAAAAAGTTTTTCCTCATAATCAGATGGAGCCTCCCATGAATCAGTTTGTGCCTGTTGCCCCCTGTCCTGTCACCAGGCACCGCTCAAAGGGTCTGGTCCCATCCTCTTGACACCTGCCCTCAAGATGCTTATGAATTTAAATAATCCAACTCTCACCTTCTGATTTATGTTTATTTTTAATTTTCTGATAGGTTGTCTTTGTCTCCTCTCTACTCTTCCAAGTTCCTGGGATTATGCTCCCTTCCAGGTAAGAAGCATTCGCTGAAGTTTGCATGTTTGAAAGCTGAAGAGGGGTAATACCTTGTACCCCCAAATTCTCTGTGACTTATTTTGTAATCTACCACTGGAATAATTGTTCTGGAAACAACAAAGCAAATCCATAGAATATCTTAATGTAAGATCACATGTTTTTAATGTATAGAATAAACATACAAGCTTCCACTGTATTTTTAACTACCAAAACTGCAGCCATGGTGAATCTCCTGTGGTCACCAGACCACTCAACTCTTAACTGATCTTTATCCACCCCTTTTATTTCTTGTATTTTTTTTTTGTTTGTGTCTTTTTATGCTTTACCCTGATTTAAAATTTCCAAAACTTTTTATCTGGAAAACCCAAAGCAGCTTAAAACCTTGGGCAGATTTCTTCTTTTAATCCTATTACATTAGAGCATTAAGCAGATAATGGTGCTTGAACTGCCTCCTGTGCCAGGGATCTACTTGCAAAAAAAAAAGAACTTGT